AAAAAAAAAAAAAAAAAAAAAAAAAAAAGAGTTGCATTTTTGTCATCAAAAGAGACAGAAGCCAGACAGCAGCTCATTATCCAGTAAAGAGTTTTAACAAATCTGTTTCTTTAAGCATAGAATCCAGCTTTCAGACCAGACTCTTGTACCACTTGCATTTCCAATAGACTAATAACAGACCACGTGTGAACAAATCTCTTCCATATAGATTAATTTCAAGCATGTGGTAGACTGGCAGTCTTGTTCTTTCTCCACAATCCAAAAAAAAAATATTTGGGATGCTCCTTTGATGATTATCACTACTCTCCACCGTAAGCTCATCGCAAAGATCGTTTGATAGCTTAGTACATGGCATATTAGCATGTCATAGATAGGGAACCCTAAGCCAATTGATTTTAACAAGATGTCTTCACCGCAATGAAACAGAGCCCAAGCAAACCAAAACCACGGAGCCGTGACTAAAGCACTCAGGCAGTCTCTTAAGTTGTTGCATCATTGAGACAAAACTTAACAAACCAATTCAAGTACACCATATGACCAAAAGGTACAGAGTTTTTATTCAAAGATGATGCAGATATTTGGTGATAAAGGTCCACTAGCAATAAGAGAAACATCAAACAGACAAAAAATACAAATTATTTATTTAGGACATAAGTATGTGGAAACTCATGTTTGTCTGACTCTCTGATCAAACTAAAGTGTTTTATGCAAATTGTCTTTTTAAATTTTGGAGGTTCATAGACTCGTCTTGGGTTTAGCTTTGTAGGCAATGCGTCTGGTCACAGTGCGCATTGTCACGAATTCCTCTGCAGAAGACGGATGGATCCCAACCTGTGTTGTGATCACAGTGTTAAGTTTAATCTTTAGTTAAATAAAAAACATCAAACTGGTGGTGAAAGTGAAAAGTGTTTGGATTTATTTTAACTTACAGTGCTGTCAAATTGTGCTTTGGTTGCTCCACACTTGAGCGCAATTGCAATCCCCTGGCATTGAAGCAATACAAGACATATTAAAAAGTATGAGACACACCACTGGGTCAAGTCTAATAGATTCACAAGCTTTAAAATCTCTGCAAGGCTTAGTAGAGGCTATGAATATAGGAAAACTTGCCTGCATGATCTCAGCTGCATCAGGACCGCACATGGATGCTCCAATAACCTTATCAGTCTTCTCATCAACTATTAGCTTCATCAGTGACTTTTCCTGCCGTCTATCAAACAAAGTAAATTTTAAGACTAGATCAAAGAGGAGAGTAGAGTCCTCAAAAGAGTGATCATGTGCAAGCACGTTGAAAAACCAAGAAAAGATTCTTAAAAATGAAATCAAGAACCGATTATATGGATTCTTCTGTGAGTTGGATATAAATTTAAATGCATGCATACCCAGAAATGGTGTTCTTCATAGGATTAAAGCCTGAGGTGAAAACCAGAATATCCCCAGTCGCTTGTTCTACTGCCTCTTCTTCGCTGAGACCCACCACAGCTAGTGGTGGTATACTGAAAGAGACAAGAAAAAACTGTAAATGAAAAACAGTGAAACTTTATGGAAGCTTCAGATTGATTTGGTATCATGAAAAAATAAGATAGATATTCGTGAATTCTTTTCAGTTCTTTCTAGAGTTCAATATCCAAATATGGAGTGTAGATAGTAACAGAGATTGTTTTGGTATACAACATACATACTTTAAGCCAACAACTATTGTCTGAAATATGACATACACAAAGTAAAATCTCCTCGTATAAGAAAGAGGACTTACCAAAATACAGCACATGCTACATTGCTGTAGTCTGCTTTCGTAGGCTTCCCACCAAAAACAGTGTTCTGCAAGCATCAAAACAAGTCCCACTTAACAAACGGATTAAAGAGTTGGACAATCCCAAACACAAAGGCTGAACTATTGGTAGTCGGAGTAACTTCCCAAAGGGTTTGTGTAGTAAACTATAAGAGCAAAATTAGAAGCACAAACCGCAAAACAGGTGCCCTCCATTAACGCGACAGGTGTAAGGTTAATCCGGTTTGTAGCATCTCCCACAGCCCATATGCTAGGTATATTAGTGCGTGAGTACTCATCAACCTGAGGATAACTTGATGAATTAGTAGCTGCAAGAGTGTAGTTTTTCCTTAGAAAGTAGAGGAAAAGTTTTCTTTAGGATAATCTGTTACAACCTTCACAGCTCCGGCCTGATCAAGTTCAACACCAACAGCTTCTAAATTCAATCTCTTGGTATTAGGACTCCTGCCTGTTGCAGGTATAGACAGAAGATACATGCTTAGAAAGCTTAATGAAAAAATGCAGGAAAAAAGAAAGTTACTCTGACATAAACAAACAGAAATCTGAGAATCGATAACTATTGATAGACAGAAAAGTTACCAGTAGCAAATAGTACAACATCCGCCATGAACTCTTCCCCGTGAGACGAGATTACCTTTATCCCGTCGTCTGTTTTTATCAACTAAATTAAAAGATACAGTATGTTCAGTAAAGGATGAACTGATGAAACGAGTGAAAAGAACTGCAAATAGTAAACGAGACATGAAAAACTAACAATCAATACTCATATACCTGAGTCAAACTTGTTTGCGGATGCAGATTAACACCCCTTCCTTCAAGATTTCTAGCCACTAGTGCCCTCATTTCGTCATCAAAGCCCCTTTAAAAGTAAACTTCAGAAATAATTACAAAGAAAGAGATTGCAAGAGACCAAAAATACAGAAGCCTATGGCACACCTTAGTGGAAGTTCCTTCCTAAAGAATAGATCCACTGTACCACCCATTCCACGCCATATTGATGCAAACTCCACAGCAATGTACCTAAGTAAGAAGGCAAACAGAATCGGGATTTGAAACACTGATGCATCAGGTTGAAAGACGTTGACAGTGACATTACCCTCCTCCAAGCACTATTGCACGCTTAGGAAACTCTTCCAAGCTTAAAGCTTCATCAGATGTAATAGCCAGCTCCTGTAAAAGACAGTTTATGTACAACAATCAAAGAATTTCCTTACATAGCAGTTTGGTTGTTCCCGCAGACTTACTTTATCAGAAGACCACATTCAATACATACAGATGTTCTGTTTATCCTATTAAAACTTTCTCAAACGAAAAGGATTTCATATATGCAAAGTGTATTCACACTCGTTGTTAATGTAAACAAAAGAAAAGATAAAGACAGAAGCTCACATGTCCAAGAATATTGGGCTTCTGTGCCCGACTGCCAGTGGCAATCAAAATGTGCTTGGCGGTGTAACTTATTTTGGTACCATCGATCTGTCTCACCTCAACTTCATTGGGACCAACTACTCTTCCTTCACCTTCATACAACTTCACAGCAGCATTCGCCAACAACCGCTTGTAAATATTGTTCAGTCTCAATATCTCATCAGTCTGCAACACATAAGAAAAATTAAAGACAGTTTATACTGCTACTACCACCAAACCATCCAGAAAGTTAACAATAAAAGTAATTCGACACTAGTGCAAATGCATCATGAAATGAATACATGAGGTAGTATATTAATCCAGAAGGCATACCTTCTTTTGCAGAAGCTTCTTCCATGTGAAGTCGACATTCTCATTGATTTCCCACCCATAGTTTCTAGCATCCTGACAGAAGATAACCACAAAAACATATGTCATCAACCAACCAATATATAATAGCCTAAAAAGATAACTTGGAATACAGCAATACAAGCCTGCACATAATGTTTTGGGTAAGAAACGTTTCTTGCTAAAAGAAACACATTGAAATGATGGATAAAAGGAACAAGAAATCTTGTTTTTTTTAAAATACCTCAAGTTCACCACCATAAGTAGCACCATAGACAAGAATCTTCTTGGGAACACAACCACGAATAACACACCTGAAAAATCCCCAACAAAAAGTGGGAAACATAGACAAGTTAACCTCCAAGAGCACAATTCCATTTTTTAAAAAAGATATTAAAGATGTGTGTAAGTAGAATATTGGGATAAAGTATGTCACTTACGTGCCACCAACACCACCAATCTCTTCGGAGCTAATAGGGTGAAAGGGAAGCTCACAGATACCAACCTTATAACCATTTCATTCACCGTTACATCAATATAATTATGGATTATAATTATTCTTGACAAAAAAAACAAAAAAAAAACAAAAGATGTTTCCTATTAAATTCACCTTAGCGCCATGATTAGCGGAAAACCTAGCAGCACGAACACCGCCGCTCCCCGCGCCGATTACAAACAAATCAAAATCATAGTGAGTCTCCGTTGCTTCTTCCACCGCCTTGTTGAGCTCTCCATCAGCAAGCATCTTCCTCCCCATGATTCTGCAGAATCAGAAAAATCCCAAACTGAAACAAATAAAATAGAATAACACAAACAATGATCAATCAAACGAATCTCGAATCAGTAAAGATAAGATAGATCGAAGAAGTGTTGTACATCTCTGAAGAAGAAGAAGAATTAAGATCCTCTAGAGAAGAGAGACACAGACACGATTACCTTTTGTACTCTGTTTTTAATGTTTTTAGCTAAAGGTCAAAATCAATATTAAACCATTTGATGCTTTTTTCACGAGTGTGTTCATACGCTGTGATGACGTGGATTTAATATCTGAAATTTTTAATTTATATATTTTTCAATATGTTACCAACTTACTGCTATGACCAAAAAACATATGGAAGCATTTGATCTATGGAAAGAGACTTCCAACCAATATGGAATCTTCAACAGTCAAAGGGTCGAGATTGAACGCTACGAAGGCGTATAGGTGTTGTCATTGTATTTTCTGACGTGGCTTTGCTTATAGCCGATGGAGTTTAGTGAGACAAGAATAAAAACACACTGCAAATTGTTCTTCTCATCATCATTGTTCATCATGTTACTACTAAAACCATAACCAAAACCAAAGACAAGACTTTGTGATATTTCTCCAAAACATAATTTCTCTCTCACCAAAATCATTTCATATCAAAAAAAGAAAAAAAAAAGATTTCATATCATCTTCCATAGCATAATATTAGAGCATATTATAAATTTTCTACAAAAGAAATATTCATCTAAGATGCTATAAAATCTCAGTTTATGCAAATATTACAGATTATAAAGTTATATTTTAGTTATTTCTTTTATATTTTAGTCCTTATCAAAAAAAAAATTTAGCTCAATTTTTGTTGTCTTTTCTTTTTCATTTCCCCGCTGTTTTGAAAAGCTTTGTTTGTTAAATTATTCTATCTCCAACAATCATCACACAGGGGTGGTGGCGCAGTTGGCTAGCGCGTAGGTCTCATAGCTATTTGAGTAATCCTGAGGTCGAGAGTTCGAGCCTCTCTCACCCCAACTTCCTTTTACTTCTTCCAAGTCCATTGTTGTACGAAAGAATGCGCAAGTCTCAGTAAAAGAAAACTGAAACAATTAAACCATAACACATGCACTTTGGGTTACGCCAAGTCGTCCTTCCTTTTCCATTAGCTGTCGGTAGTGAAACACCAACACACTTCTACTGAGGTGTAATTCTTCATTCCTTGAGTACATATATATGTATCCTAGTTTTACTATATTTTATTTTTAATAACAGAATAAAAAAGATAGATACTTATTACATAAAAATGAAGTAACTATATTTATTAATTCATTTGACTCATTATTCTGTTTTAAATATAAATAAATAGAGTACGATTTTAGTATTTGGCCTATTAAGGTGAATAACCATATTGAGATTCGATAGTGGCAAAATAGTCATTTTTAGTAATATTTTGTGTGATGGACATGGTTGACTCTTGTCTGGAACCTATTTCCCTTTCCTCAGAACCGATTTTCTTTTTTGTTTCTCACAACAGGGAAGTTGTTCAACGGTTAATTTTTATTTTTTTAAGTTTCTCACGAACTGTAATATATTTTTAAAAAAGAACATCAATTATATTGTCAAATACGTATTTAGGCATAGATGTACAGCTTGATATTTTGACGAATAAGTGTGGTTTTAAGAGGGTATGGCGGGTACGGAGACACGTGTATGGCAGGAAATAATTCAACGACATACTTGTACGAGTACAGATGTCGAATACTCTCATTATGTTCTCTTTATCAAGAGAGCTTCATATCAGAGAACACCAAGAAAATTTGATTGCAGATGCTAACCGATGCGATCCAGTAGGGCAGGCGGGGGCCCTCGTTTCAACCAAAGTCACGAGATACAGAAATTCAATCAAAATTTGATCAGTGGTGACATTGATAGTAGTATTCCATCTATCTCAGTTATTTCGCGGCGATGAAATAACTCACCTTACAAAGCTGGTTTATAATCAAAGGTAAATCTACGTTGTTTAGTCATCAGATCAACGAATAACTAGATTTTGTCTAAGTTTGAAAAAAATCGATAATTAAAGCATGGATATGGGATCTTAAATAAGATAAACAAGGAATTATTAAGGGGGGGGGAGGGAAGATTTAATTGCCTACGTTGCCTAAACCAAGAGTGTTCCCTGCTATCTACTTATAAATTCTTTTTGGTATGCGTTAAAAAATGGAGCGGTAATGGCCATCTCGACTAAACAACAAGTGATTAGACGAGCAAGACATTAAATTCAAATTTAACAAGATGGAAATATTCAGAAATATCTCTATAAATAGATATAAGGGAGATTCTTGGAATGACATAAAACGATAATAGAAAACCATCCTACTATTTAACAAAATTTAGAACAAAGCTTGATGGATTCATGTATCTCTTGATGGCACCTAGGCATCCATTGCACTCACTGACGGATCCATGTATCTCTTGATTAACCAAAGCTTATAAGTCTCTTTAAACAATTTTCTGTCTTGCTTCAACCAAAGAAACCTTGTCGACCAAAGCATCGTTAACCCACTTGAACATGAGATTCACCTTACCTCTAGATGAGGGAAAAAAATAAATCCAAGAAAATATTATTTGGGATTAAATTTGAGATGTATAAAGGTTACACTCGTACCTGCCTAGCAACTACACAACGATAGAATCTCCTAAAATGATTCTTCCTTGTTTTCGAAACAAATGTAGAAACGCGATTCCCACACCAGCAGTGTGTTAGGACACCATCAAATGATGCTCTGTTTCGCCTTTAACACGAACCCCGCGAGATAAAATTTCCAGACATTCTTCAATTTTACTCGGAAACAAAATAAGTTAGAATAATATCATTTATGAGAGTATTACAATTATGAAGACACATAAATGATTCCCCAGCTTTCGATTTGTCCATAGTCTCCGCTTGAAATTCCACAGATACAGAGAGATGGAACCAGAATTGAGAAGAATAAGGTTGCACAAGTGGAGTGGTTGGGATGAAGGGTTCGGTTTGGTATTAAACCGGGTTGGGATTTTGGGAGGAAGGATAACCGGGTTTATTTTTTTCATATTGACTTGGTCAACATGGTTTAATTTTTTTGTATCCAATAAATAGAACTAGAACTTGCAACTGCATATGAATGACAACGTTTTAGCGATGTAGTAATAATGCATGAAAGATAGTTACAGCAACATTATGTGATTGTGATGATTTAGGATACTATAGCTGAGATGGTGAAAGGTTCTACAGTATGAACAAATGTATTTGTGTCACACAAAATCTGTACTTAGATATAAGGAGATGATGTTGACACGATTTCATACTTACATACATTCGTTTCACGTACAAAGATGAGACTGAGATTTACTATAAATAATCATACTTGGTAACTCATAAATGTAACACAACAGATTTACATTTAGCCGGCTGTCATCTGAGCCAATGATGTAAAAGAGTAATCTAGTGTGAGAATTCTTGCAAAGAGGGTGATCACAATAGATGAGTTATCTCTAACATAATCTAAGTCATTTTCTCTGAGCATAAGACAATTGTTGTACCAAACAGTAACAAATTAATAACGAGATCACCAAAACATCAATGATGTGTCAAACTCACTAAATACATTCTCATCATGGTTATTTTTAGGTGAAATGGGGCAGATTGTCTCCGAAGAGGAAAATGGAATATAAGTGCCGGCGGAGGTTGGCAATTCGAAGGAGATCCCTCTGAAGTGGACCAGTATATTATTGCCCACATCAATGAAAATATCGAGTCCTTTACGAGTCTCATATGTGAAGAGCTCGGTAGAGGAACTCAATGCCCCATAGCTAGCTTTGACATATCAATTGCTAGACGGAATATTGCATCAGGGAATTCCAGAAAATTCTCAACCAACAAACATAGTAACTTCTAAGGACGTTGAGGTAGTTATGAGTGTACAAGAGTGGACAAAGAGAGTCCAACTTTGTATTACATCCGGAGCGCTGAACGTGGCTAGATACCAGTTCCTCTGTAGAATTCTATTCACAATGAGAGATTCAACATATTTAGATGGAAGAGTCACATGGGAAGAGCATTTGGCAAACATAAAAGGTAAGAGTTTTAAAGTGTATGAGTATGAAAGAACAAAATCGTAAATTAACACTAGGAAAATAATTCCTCGTAAATTTACCACGAACTTACTTTGGTTTTACGAGGAAAACAAGTTTCCTCGTAAATTCCTCGTAAAGTTACGAGAAAACGTTTTCCTCGTAAGACCGTAGTAAACTTACGAGGAAACTACGTGGCAAAGGACCATTTCCTCGTAAGCTCGTAGTAAATGCTTTCCTCGTAAAGTCCTAGTAAATCTTTACTACAAAATTAGGAGGAAATAAACATTTACTTCAAATTAGTGAGGAACTTGATTGAAAATATCTAATTTAAATCTAAAACGTGTTTTATACCTACTTTTCCTAGCAATTTCCTAGTAAATGCTCAGATTCGAAAATTTCTATAAGTACCACCATTTGTGATTCATTTCAAACACACCAAAAAAAAATCAGCTTTAAGCTTGATCAAAGATAAAAAAATTGTCCGGTCCGGGAAATATTTTCGAGTTGCGGAAGTGGGTGTATTCACACAGAGACAATAACGGGAGAGTGACAAAAGAATATCTCGAAGGGTTGGAGACGTTTATGTATCAAGCAGATTCAATACCACTCATGCAGGAAAGTGGTAAGATGTTATGTCCTTGTCGGAAATGCTGCAATACAAAATTAGGCCCTCGTGAAATGTTTAGAAGCATTTAATAAATATATGTTTTATGCCATATTATTATATTTGGTATCAACATGGAGAAGACGCTAGTTTTAGTGATGAAGGTAGCAGTAGTAATAACAAATTTCAGGTTGAATCGGTTGATCATTTGCGTAATGAAAATTAGGCCTGGCCATATTATCCATAATCCGAAACCGAACCCGAACCGAAAAACCCGAACCCGGCCGGTTATGGATCTTTCAAAATACCCGATCGGTTTTGATATGCTGATACTTTGGTTATCGTGTTCGAGTTCGGTTTAATCCGATATCCGAACTAAAACCCGAAATAACCGATTATATGTATAATGTACAATAAGTATATACACGTATTAATCATTAATTGATTTTGACAATTTTCAAGAAGGCACAACCACGTTTTGTTATTTCAAATTATAAGACACAACTAAGTCTAGACAACCACTCCTTTCATAATAACCTTAGGGGCGATTCCTATTCTTCCTAGTTTCAAAAACCTAATCTCTTACTAAAATAAGGTCTTTGATCGAAGAGAATGTTCAGAAACATAAACACACAATTCTCTCTATCTCCTCCACCATCTTTGATTTCAAGAACTCAATATGAGGTAAGGACTTGATTTTCAAAAAATCAATCTGAGTCTTCTGTGTCATATAAATCATAGTAATTTGTTTGCGGTTTTAATTAATGCATGTTTTTGACTTGATATGATTCGATCTTTTGTGTTTATATAGAGTCATCTATGTTGATATGTGTTTTAGGATTTGATCTCTGTAAAGAAACTATTTGATAGGTATTTTATGATGATATGTTCGAACAAAACCGTAAACGTATATAATCTTAGGATGAGTGTTTGTTTATTTGTTTTCTTTGAATTTTACTTTAGTTATTCCGAAACCGATACAGTAAAACCCGAACCCAAATGATATATGGTAACTTCAGTATAATCCGAACCCGAACCAAAACCGATGTGTTATATCCGATCCCGATCCGAATTTAAGAATTTCTTAAAATGGGACCTAGGAGGTGTTATAAAAAAGAACCGATATCCGATATACCCGAACCCGAACTTGAACGGGTATCCGAACGCCCAGGCCTAATGAAAATAGCTATCATCACCAAGAGGAACAAATGGTAGATTGTGATAGGGTTCATGATATGGTAGGCGATGGATTTGTAACTCATGATGATGATGAAGTTGAAGAACCTAACTTAGATGCAAAAAAGTTTTGTGAAATGTTAGAAGCTGCGAATGAGACAATTTAAAGTGGTTGTAGAGAAGGTCTGTCTAAATTGTTGTTGGCTGCTAGAATGATGAGTATTAAAACCGATCACAATCTACCTAAAAATTGTATGGATGCATGGGCAGACTTGTTTAAAGAGTATTTGCCGGAAGAAAATGTGTCTGCTGAATCTTATTATCATATTCAGAAATTGGTATATAGTCTTGGGTTGTCCTCGGAGATGATAGACATTTGCATCGACAACTGCATGATTTACTGGGGAGATGATGAGAAGTTAGAAGAATGTCGATTTTGTACGAAGCCACGATTCAAACCGTAAGGTCGAGGGCGTAATAGGGTACCGTACCAAAGGATGTGGTACCTACCAATCACAGACAGATTGAAAAGATTGTACCAATCTGAGGAGACTGCTAGAGGGACGAGATGGCACGCCGAGCATACTCAGACGGATGGAGAGATGACTCATCCATCAGATGCAAGAGCCTTGAAACATTTTAACAATGTACATCCACATTTCGCTAGCAATAGCCGGAATGTGTATCTTGGATTATGCACTGATGGATTTAGTCCATTTGGAATGTCTAGGAGACAATATTCATTGTGGCCGGTCTTTCTTACACCGTATAACCTGCCACCGGAGATGTGCATGCGACGAGAGTTTCTATTCATGACCATATTAATACCTGGTCCAAAACATCCAAAAAGATCTCTCGAAGTTTTTCTACAACCACTGATAAAAGAGTTGGAAGATTTTTGGCCAACAGGGGTGAGGACATATGATTGTTCAACGAAAACAAACTTTACGATGAGAGCGATGCTTTTGTGGACCATAAGTGACTTTTCTGCATATGGGATGTTGTCTGGGTGGACTACACATGGGAGATTAGCTTGTCCATATCGTAACGTAATGACATATGCGTTTCAGTTGAAGCACGGTAGGAAGACTAGTTGGTTCGATTGTCACCGTCGATTTCTTCCCGTTTACCACCCATACCAAAGAAACAAGAAATTGTTCAGGCACAAAAGGGTTGTCAGAGATACTCCTCCTCTATATTTAACTGGAGAACAAATCGAAGCGCAAATCGATTACTACGGTGCTCTAGAAACAGCTCCTCGTGGTGGGAATTGGCATGTTCCCAGTAATATGCCTGATTCTTATGGTGTTCAACACAACCTCGATGTGATGCATATAGAGAAGAACTTTTTGAGAACATTGTGAACACTATATTGAATGTCTTAGGGAAGACGAAAGACAATGTAAAATCGAGGTTGGACTTACCCGATATCAGCTCAAAGAGTGAGCTACATATAAAAAGCAATGGGCAAGTTCCAGTTCCAATATTCAGACTGTCATCAGAAAAAAGTCTGCGTTGTTCAACTGGGTGGCTTCAGAAGTGAAGTTCCCTGATGGGTATGTTTCAAATCTCTCAAGATGTGTTGAGAAAGGGAAAAAGTTCTCTGGGATGAAGAGCCATGATTGTCATGTTTTTATGCAGCGACTACTTCCCTTTGCATTTGAGGAGCTACTACCGGAAAAAGTACATGAAGCACTTTCATGTAATTAATTAATATAATACGATCATATGATTAATTTATTTATTTATTTATATATATATATATATATATACTAATGTGGATAATTTTTGTTTTTGTAATGTATAAGGAATTGGAGCATTTTTTAGGGATCTGAGCACCCGCACTCTTAAAGTGGAAGTTGTCCAACAACTTCATGAAACATTCCCGTCTTAATCTACAACTTGGAGAAAATATTTCCGCCTACTTTTTTCGACGTCATGGAACACCTAGTTGTCCACCTCCCATATGAGGCATTACTTCGTGGACCTGTGCATTATAGATGGATGTATCAGTATGAAAGGGCCATGAAAACTTTGAAAGGAAAAGCCAAAAACCTAGCAAGAGTTGAAGGTTCTATTGTTGTGGAAAGTTTGACGGAAGAAACATCACATTTCACATCGTACTACTTTGCACCGAAAGTACGTACAAAGAAACTCCAAGAAGATATGATGATGGTGGTGTCGTGCCGGCATATATGGAAGACGATGTTCCAGACATCTTTTGTCAAATTGGGCGATTGGTGGGGAATTGAAAGAAGTTTGGTGGTCGAGTGATGAAGACGTCCATAAAGCACACCTTTAGATTCTTCTTAATTGCGAGCATCCATTGATTAGTTATTTTGAAAGGTAAATATATAAACATACACACTTATATATATATATATATATATATATATATATATATATATATATATTTTCAATATTAAATAACATAATATATATGATTTTACAGCCAATTTGTGACTCAAGTCGAATAAGCAATACCTGGTATATCGACAACTGAGTTAGACAAAAGAAAAGATTAACACTTTATCAAGTGGTTGAGGAAACATGTATTTATTATAGCTTAAATTTTATGCATACATTACCACAAAGTCTAATGTCTAGTTCTAATAATAACTTTTTTGCAGGTTGATGATGACGATCCTGAGTATCCCGCGTGGTTTCGCGAATTACTTCAAGGTCCAGTTGCAAAGGTCACTGCATCATCGATGTATTTCACCCGATGCTATACTTTTCATACCTATGACTATGGGAAAGCGGAGGGCTTCCAACCCAACAGCATCCACGTCACAGTCACAGCCGACAACCAACCTGAAGAGGAGTTGGCAAGCCAGAACGACTTCGTTCGGCAATTTAACGACCACCATCCGTAGTTTTTTTTAATTGTATATTATGAATTTTAAAACTTAATTGTATATTATTTAGTTATTTATAAAATATTTTGTTATTTTTTGGTATTTATAATTGTTTTTTTAAAAAAAAATTTTAAATATATTATCTATATTTATAATTAATATTTTTTTAATTGGGAAAAAAGGTTTTGAAGTAAAATCTTCGTAATAGTTTCGAAGTAAATTCCTCGTAAATTTTACTAGTAAGGTCTTCATAAAGCATTACTACGAGTTTACGAGGAAATGTGTTACTATGACTTTACGAGGAAAGATGTACGAGGAATTTACGAGGAAAATATTATCCACTCGTTTACAAGGAAAGTTTTCCTCGTAAATTAGCTAGTACTTTACGAGGAAAAAAGCTTTACGATGAACGTGTTTCGAGGAATTGTGGCAGGATTAAAGATGAGGAACTACTTGTACGTCTCTTCCTTGTGGTTCTACACTTTTGCTTTGGTGGTGAAGGCCGTTTTGAGTCCACATAGTGATAGTAGACTTGATGCTCTGTTTGCGATAAAGGGGGAATTCAGCGACCATCCAGTACTTGCCGAGACTTGGAAAGGGAACTGTGGATCCTAGATCTTTTCCACAACCAGCTACACGGGAAAGTTCCACGGTTTGAGACACTGATTCCAGACACTAAAGGAAATTCTGAGATTGTGACGTGCGTCAATCGTGTTTCTTTACAAAGAGGTGACAAGAATACTGCAGGCGTTATGGGATTTTATTTTAAGATTATGGTTCTTGGTTTCCTGTTTATTAGGGGAGCAGGCGTCCTTTTCTACCTGGCTAAGTAAATAAACCAGATTTGATAGTGCTTTTCAAAAATGAAGTCTTGGGAAGTTCCAAGTTTTTCTCTAGTGTTTGTTACCCATTGGATGTTGTTTAGTAAGATATATGCTAGTTTTTGAAAATGATACTATGTCATTACCTAATATAAGATTAAAATAATGTTTCTACATGTAAGTTATGTCATATCATTATAATCAGGTGGAATAGAACTTATCACAAATAAGCAGCTTCAGTTTTGAATAATCTCCATTCTCCAGGTATGTTGTTTCAAGAACTTTTAGTTTAGAACTCAAAATTCAGAAGGTGGTTGATTATGGCATGAAGACCAGTAATGTTAAATAGCTACGGCATGGTGGTTTTTGAGGTTTTGACTGGGAAACAACATATGGGGTTCCAAGAGTAGCAGAGCGGCTTTTACTTATTGGATTGGGTGAGTAAAGGAAACCTTGAAGTTTTTGACTATGAGCTTGAGATCAAGAACGGAATCTGAAGCCACGAGATGATACAAGTGTTGAGCACTGCTCTATTATGTGTTAACGAGTCCTATGAGGCTGTGACGAGAAACCTACCATGAAAGATGTTGAGGCTACGTTGAAGGGGAATTCACCAAGAGCGTTAAGAGTACACAAATGTTGACTTGCTGTTCGAGAGATCTCCTCCTTCATTTACAACAGCACAAAAAAGGTCGGAAGAATGAAATGCTGGCAACGATTTCGCTTTCTAAAGAGATGAGACGAGAATAGAGATTAGTGAAGTGTAACAACACGAATTATTCTTCTCTGATTTACTCTTCTTTATCTTTGATTAAGTAATCTAAGGTTTAGAGATTACGTGAGGGGAAAGCTTTTTGTATTAAACGCTCACGCATGAACTATAGTGAATTTCTATAAATTAATAATGTTGAAAATACACCAAAACTATATTTTTATTAATTTATAGTGATTATTAATTTGTCGATAATAATTAAAACTAAAAATTCAATTTGAGACTATAAAATTATATTATTTTATAGAGAATTCTAGTATATATTAATTTATAAAGTATTAATTTAAATAGGTTATACTGTATACAGATCGATAATTATGGATGAAATTAGTTTATCCTAAAAGTCATATATATGTCATATGGTTCTTGGATTAATAATTACATTTTGTATCTTACTTTCATAGTTTCCTCGCTGAATAAAACTTGACCATTTTTAAGAGGTAGGGGCAACGTTATCCTGCATAACCGTCTTGTTGATCTCTTTCTTACTTTCTTGTTATAATGTAGTATGTATTCTTTTCTTCGTGTAACAGTTTTTGTTACAACGGACACATTTCACGTTTTTTTTTTTGTATTTTCTTTCACCTTTGACCTTTCATATTATTATGTTTTATTCATACGCCTTTTGTCTTGGAAGAAGATTAGGGTTGGGAAAAAAACCAAACCTGAAAATTCGAACCGAACCCGACCCGATAAAAAGGAATCGGAACCAATCCGAACCTGATTTAAGTACCAAATAGATTTTGTTTTACGATATTTCGGGTTATGGATTTTACCCGAACCGAATCCGAACTTAAATGGATATCCGAAAGAACCCGAAACTTTAAAATTCTAAAAAAACTTGTACCATACTCAATCTAAATTTCTATTATTTTTCCAAAACACATTAATATATTATTGAGTACCTACAATAATTAGTTAGGATATGAATAATTAACTCATATATTTAGTCTAGTATATAGTGTTATTTGGTTAATATTAATGTTTATGATTGACATTGCATTTGAAGTTGAGTTACGAATAAATTTGTTTTGAAGTTTAAATAATGTTTTTTAAGTTTAAATAGTACTTCTTACGATAGAAGTGTTAGTTGTTAATTTTAACTTGTTATGTTTCATTATGTACGATTTTCTTTCATATAAGGTTTTGGTTTGTCATTAATCATGATATGTTTAGTGTTGTCACATATAGCTCAGTGACAAATCTTATATGGTTGATAGACGAGTTTCACAACATTATTTTGAAGGAGAACAATATGATTTGTAAAAGCTAAATACACAAATTGAATAAAATGATTGAAAATATTGTAAGTTTAATTGAATATAAATTAGTATTTTTAGAACCGATAACCCGATTAGTATCTAAAACCGAAACTATTTTGGTTTAACCGGATCTTGGACATGTTACTAAATCCGAACCGAACCCGATTAAAACCGAACCGAATCCGATCCGGATTTTTATGATATCTGAATAGGGTTGAAATTCATGAACCCGAAAACCCGAAACCCGAATGAATCCCAACCGAAAGTCGATTGGGATCCCGATTGCCCAGCCCTAAAGAAGATGATGAAACATTGACCAAAGTAACGAGAAATCAGTTTTAATAAGTGGTTTATTGGCTATGGTAATAAGTGGTTTATTGGCTATGGATTGCAGCGCGATTAGCTCAGTCTTTGAACTTTGATTGACTCAGGCTCTGCCATTCACACAGACCGTTTTGGAAATTGGATTTAGAAGCTTTAATTAGAGTCGTAATATGAAAGTCAAACAAGTAAAAAGTGATTTGGTCGACGTATTAAAACCGTTGTTATTATGTTCTCGTTAGCTTTTAACACGTCGTTAACGAATGCAACATAACTTCACTTATTAAATTTAAACGAATCACCCACATCACCGACTTCATATTTTTCTTGTGAACCGATAAAAGTCACGGCCTACGAAGCCCATGCATGCACATTAACATTACATCTTCCGATAAAGATGACAGTCATTAAACTGTTTTCTGTTTCTTCTTCTTTAAATTACGTCTCTAAAATCCAATTTATTATCCCCAACTGTACTCTGCCACTTTCCTCCTTTATATAAACAATCCCATTCAAAGCATAGTTGCTATCAAATCAAACACATAACATCTCCACTTCTACTTCTTTACAAATCTCCAAACACATTTGTTCGTGTTAAGAAAGAAAATGGCTGCGAGTTTCTCATCACTCACCAACCTGGTGCTTCTGATCTCTGTAGCCACGTTGCTTTTGGTCCACGCAAGTGCTCGCAACTTGCAGCAAACACAGACTATGCCTCTTCAAGGAGCTGCTTCTCCTACCAAAGCTGAGTCTCCTACCGACAATGTCCCTCTCGACGACAGTAAGAACTTCATTGTCGGCGGTGCTGCCGGGATAGGCGGATTCATGGGGATGCCAGGTGATGGGACCGGTATGACATTGCCGCTTCCATCGGGGACACCGCTTCTTGGTGGGTCTGGTGCGTTTGGTGGTTTGGGTGGTGCAATGGGTTTTCCTGGTGTTGGAGGTAATGTTGGTGGTTCTGTTCCAAGCTTAGGAGGTGGTTTGGTGTCTCCATGAGAGAGTGAGCAAGAGAGATTAAGATGAGTTTGGTTTCCTTTGCAATCATGTTTTCATCATTGTTCTTGTTGTTTCTGTGTGTGCTTTTCTTTTGTTTCATTTTCTCATCACTTGTTTAATGTTGTGTTGTGCTTGTCTTTTGCTGAATTTTCTCATCAATCACTTGTTTAACGTTGTGTTGTTTCCTTTAGCCGTTTTCGTTTTAATTTGAATCGGGTGGTATGTTTTATGGCATGTACTACGTAACGTGACAATGACCCAACGTGAATAAAACACAAACTGTATTCTAACATTAATTAATCATATGCAAAGAGCAAAGTATCTCCACCTTATATACAAGCTACTAATTAAGTATGTATGTACACGTCACCTATCTACAAGTTTGATATACGATATGTATTCCTAGTACACCCCTCTCAAGCTGGACGCGAAGATTAAGCAGAAAAGAGGCTTGATATGGACATACGATTGAGGAGAGCATCCATAATGGAGTGGTTTAGTCAAGATGTCCGCATGTTGATTCTGTGTGGGCACATGAAGAACCTTTCAAGCTAAACTTGACCTGTGTGGTATGACAATCAATTTCCACATGTTTTGTGTGCTCATGATGAAACGCCGGGTTTGTTGCAATATAGAGAGGTGACTTGTTGTCACAAAAAAGCTTAGCAGTAGTGCCACACACATAAATAATGAATCAAGAAGCTCTTGTATCAAAAGAAGTTCACAAGTAGCCAAAGCGAAACTCCTCAGTACTACTTCGACTCACTCTCTCTTGTTTCTTTGGACTTCCAACTGATAAGGATTTGCCAAGATATAAACGTATGTCAGTCATAGAACAACGAGTACACTACACACTTAACACGATTTTACTTATAAAAAAAATATTCAAAGGTTACAAACGCGAAACTGTGAGAGTTTCTAGATTAACTTTAACAACAGTAAGAAGTAAAATAGCAATTTGAACTAGCAAATGTAAAACACACACACACACACACATGTTCAGTTATTGAACAATTTATTTGTGGGACATAAAATTCATAGTTTAGAGTCTTTGACCGAACCGCCTTTCCCTCTGCTGATACCAAGTCAAGCATTTGAGACATTCAGCCTTGTCAAAGTCAGGCCATAGAACATTAGGAAAGTAGAGCTCAGTGTAAGCTGATTGCCATAGGAAGAAGTTACTGATTCTTTGCTCTCCACTCGTTCTGATCAATAGGTCCGGATTTGGGAACTTACTACAACTTGTCATCAACTCTTTGTCGATCAGATCTTGGTCGATGTCCTCCACTTGTAATAGTCCGTTTTTTGTCTTATTAGCAATATTTTTGCACGCTTGCAAGATATCAAATCTTCCACTATAGTCTATTGCCATAATGAGATGCCTATCTTCGTAGCTCTTTGTAGCTTCTTCTACCTCTCGTATTGAACCAAGAAGTGACTCGGAGATATTTGCGCGATTCCCAATAACAGAGACCTTGACTTTATGTCTAAAAACAAATGGAGAAAATTAGCAGATAGTGCTTGAAAAAAGGATCAAAACATGTTTGTTTACCTTTGGAGGTATGATATCTCCGATTTACAGAATTTCTCAAACTTGGACATCAAATATTTAACTTCATCCTGATCAAAGAAAATAAAGATTAAACCAAATCAAAACAATGAAAATATAAGACAAATTATATCAGTCTCTCATTATTTTAGTAATCACCTCGGGTCTTCCCCAATTTTCAGTGGAGAAAGCAAAAACTGAAACCGTGTTTGTTCCCAAAGTAAATAAATCCACAGCAAGCTGTATAATTCTTTTTGATCCGGCCTCATGACCTTCTTCTGTACTACGTCCTCGTTTCTTTGCCCAACGTCTGTTTCCGTCCAATATAATCGCCACATGGTTTGGAATTCTTTCTTGTTTCTCCTTCTTTCCAGTTGCACCGCTACAAAATCGTAAAAAACATATCAATCTTCAAAGTTCAATATACAGAATCTATAACAAAACTAGTATTCAGTTGACAACTCATTAACCAAATAAACAATATATATAAGCCTATAGTCTACATTTATATACCGTAATACTGTACGTGTAAGTAAGTTAAAATAAGTCCTATTGCAACTTACTAGGGAGATTTCAAGTTTAGACCCATCACATTCACTTCAAATATAATCAGTTCCGTTAGGTTGGTTAAATACGGACACACTAATTGGCTTCTATGATGTTAACAGTGTAAGCTTGGTTGTAGGTTGCCATTCGTTAATTTCAGACTAGACTGAGAGAAACAATTCATTTTATCAAAAAAAAAGAAAGAAAAAAATGACGTTTATCACGTAAAAACTATGATTAATAGAAGCGTACTACTATTTCTCGTACCTCTCTTCTTCTTCATCGCATTGAGAAGCTGGGACATTGATGAGTCTGCGAATATTTGTAAAGGAGAGGGGAACACTTAGACGCCTAGAGATGAAGAGACAAGGGATGAGAATAAGAGCAAGACAAGTCAAGACAGTTGAGAGTATGGACAACATATTGTTTTATCTTTTATGTTTTTGTATGAATTGATCAACTAATACTCGTCTATATATAGATACTTGAAGAGATCGAGGTTCAAAGACGCACATGATCAATGGAATCTTCTCTCTGTCTAGCTCATGTTTTCCTTGATGCAAACGCAAAGACAGATCTTACGTGCATTAAGTTTAACTAGACTTTGACTCTGCGCGCGGATGCTTTTTTTTTGTTTTTTTTTTTTTGAAACAATGCTTTTTTTTTGGTTAAAACATTAATTTAATTGTATTTTACGTTCATACAATCATACGTCCCGAAGCTTTGGGTCTGGTTTTTTTTCCAACTCTTCTTTTCTATATATTTTTGAGTGATTTAGCTTAATATTTTTGTAAACAACTTTGAACAGGTCTCTTTGTGTAGCTATATAATTTATTTTTTTGTAACAGGTATGTGTAGTTAAAAACGACTTTTCGTTTAAAAGGTTTGTATAGGGAAAGAACAATTTCTAAGTCCAATAGAAATCATTAATAAGAAAAATTTAATATCATGACCCGTTTTGTCACATCTAAAATAATATTTTGCTTTTAACAGTATTATTCTTAAATAAATTTAGTGTAAGAGAAAGACCCTTCTAAATACAAAAACTATTCTAACAACCATTCTCATTTCTCCTTTCTCATTTAAATTCCAATAGAAATCATTAATAAAAAATTAATATTATCCATAGGTTCTGTTTTTTTAATAGACCTAAGTTTAACATTTTTATTTTCAAAGAAAAAGATGTGAGCTTACACTTGCTCCACTGTAACACTTTTTCAGATTCTTTTCATTTTTTTTTACATCGACTTAATAATAGATTCATGTTGATTCTGCGATCCAAACCGGTAGTTCTGCATCCATGTAAACAACAAAAGACGATTGTTTCATGGCACTGCGTGCTAAATTTTCCGTCCGTAAATTCTGCGTTTTTGGTACGTAGATGATCGTTGAGCTGTGAAAGTTTTCCATGAGCATCTTAATATCCTCCATATAATTTGCAAAAGCTGACCATTCTTCTGGTTCCGAAACCATCTTCACCAATTGAGAACAATCTGTTGCAAAAGTGACATGATACTGTTGTAAATCCCTCATACATTCCATTGCCCAAATAAGCGGTTCCACCTCAGAATGAAGAGGCGAGAGAGTAGCTCTGACATTTCTTGCTCCCATCAATCCAGTAAAACCTGCGAGTTTACTATACCAACCTTGGCCATAAAACACTTCCTTATCTTTCCATAAACCATCTGTAAAACACCAATGCCCCTGGTAGGGAAGATATAGTAGATCCCTATACTTGTTGTGTTACCCTCTGGGAAGGTTCCACTTGTGCTTCCTTCCAAAGAATTGATTTTGTTTCTGCCAAATTAACCGTGTCCCTAGAATCAACATCCAAATTGCTAAAATCTTATTATTCCGTCCTTTCCAAATATACCACAATATCCATGCGAATTGATGGTCATCCATTTTTGGTCTAATTCGCCAGAATAGATGATCCATATTTGTGAAGAGAGAGCCGGTAGGAAATTTTCCATATTGGAAGGATACTTTGATAATGCCCAGATTTGCCATGCTGGAGGACACTCAAAAAATACGTGGTTAATTGATTCTTCTGCAGCTCCACATTTGTCACAACCAATTTTCCCTTGTATCCCTCGCATTTTCAAATTTTTCTTCACAGTTATACAACCTGATAGTCATTGTCATAGAAAATATTTTATCTTCGGATGAGACCTTACTTGCCAGCAGAATGCCTTTTATAAAGACCACTGTGGGGCCCAAAAAATCAGGTGGTTTATCTTTGTTCGGGTACACTCGTTCGACTTGATATCCTGATATAACCGTGTATTTTCCATCCTTACTGAAACGCCATCCATCCCTCTCTTCCATCTGAGTCTTGTTAAGTGGTATACTTTCTATAATTTTTGCATCATGGGGGTCGATTAGAGCCCGAATAGCATGTATATTCCAACTTCACGTAGTAGTATTAATGAGAGAATCCACCGTGAGTTCCAGGATAAAAGTATGTTGATTTTTATTTGCTGGTCTCGGGCGAGTGGTTGGGAGCCATGGATCAGTCCATACAGATATAGATGATCTTGTTCCAACCCATTTGATAAGTCCTTTGCTAACCAGATATCTAGCAGAGATCATACTACTCCAGCCATAAGACGGAATATATGATCGGATCGGTTCTAGATGTGAAGCATTCCTATAATACCAACCTTTGAAAACACGAGAAAACAAAGTATTTGGTTTCTCAATTAGGCGCCATAATTGCTTACCAAGTATTTCTGTGTTGAAATCCTCAAGGTCTTTAAAACCTAACCCTCCTTCTTCTTTATTTAGACACAATTTATCCCATGATTTCCAGTGCATTCCTCTTGTACTTCCCCCAAGACTCCACTAAAATTGTGCAACTTCGCTTGTGAGTTTCTTTGTGGTAGCCTTAGGTAACTTATAGCAAGACATCACATGATTTGGTAAAGCCGTGACAACCGATTTGATAATCACCTCTTTGCCTCCCTTCGTAAAAATCTAAAAGTCCAACCATTAACCCTCTAAGGTTATGTATGTACACGTCAGCTATATCTATAAGTATACAATATGTATTCCTAGTACACCCTTCTCGAACCGGACGCGAAGATGAAGAAAAGACGGTTGATATGGACATCCGGTTGAGGAGAGCATGAAAAGGACCATAATGGAGTGGTTTAGTTAAGATATCTGCATGTTGATTCTGTGTTGGCACATGAAGAACCTTTCGAGCGAAGCTTGACCTGTGTGGTATGAAAATGAATTTTTAAATATTTCGTGTGCTCATGAAACACCTGGTTTGTTGCAATATAGAGAGCTGATTTGTTGTCGCAAAAAGGCTTAGCAGTAGTGCCCACACACATAAAGAATGAATCAAGAAGCTCTTGTACCCAAAAGAAGTTCACAAGTAGCCAAAGCGAAACTCCCAAGAGCATTTCCATAAAGAAACTCAATTTTGAAGTTTTCAAATTCTATATTTGAATTTTCTAAATGTTTTTCTCTAAAAGAAAAATTTCAAAACTAACTTCAAAATTATTTGTATTTTACATTATGGTCTTTATATTTTTAACAATTAATGAAAATTCATAAAACTTTATAAATAATTAACACATATATAAAAATATTACAACAAGATTAATAAATAAAAGTTTACCTTAACATAAAACTAGAAATAGAAATACATAATTAAATATTAAACTACAAGCAAAACACAAAATTATTCCATAAAATTATTTCTGCAATGCTCCCATATGTGATCAACTAGTGCATTTCAGAATAAGAAAATGACTCTTTATTTTTAATTTGTAGATTACGAGATAAAAAATTGTTGAAATGGATATCTTCATTTTCCGCCATATCAACCGTTGCTTCTGCCACTGATCTTGTACCTTTTATCGGCGCATTAATACCCATTCATCCTCAATTATCATGTTATGAATTATAATGCATGCTGTCATTATATCATGCAATACCTCATTCTTCCAGTAACGAGATGATCCTGCTATGATAGCAAACTTCGACTGCAAAACTCTAAATGCACGTTCAACATCTGAGTACATTCTTTCTGAACAAGAAAGAATCATATGAGAAAGACGTCAAAAACAACAAGAACAACCATCTTCGATTACAAAAAACTTGTTTGGATTTGAAGATTTTGGAGCTTTCGAGGCAAATTTACCAGATCATTCCCCATCTATTCACTCCGAGGAACGCCTGTTGTTAGCCAACCAATCCCATGAGCTAGCTAGAATCTTTAGGTCTTCCAATATCAATAGGTTGATTGTTTCGCTCCATATTTAAATTTCTAGAATAATTATGTCTTCATGTACCATTTAAAAAAATATTTTCAATTAAGTTTGTTTTGTAATATTCATGTTGTCTAATTCTACTTTTAAAATAATAATATAAATCTTATCTTTTTAATTTTTTATATTTAATTTTATGTGTAAAGCTTAATTTATAGGAATACATTTGAGATATAATTTTTTTGAAAGATTAAATGATAAATAAAAAATATCTAAGAATCATAAATAAGATATGTAAATATAAGGACCAAATTGCAAATAAAAAATGAAACTTCAAATTTAAAGTTTCTTTTTGGAAAGCAAAAAACTCTATATTTGAAGTTATAGAGAATCTTTTGCAGATGCTGTAAATACTACTTCGACTCAATGTCTCCTCTTGTTTCTTTGACTTCCAACTGATAAGGATTTTCCAAGATATAACACATATGTCAGTCATAGAAATGAGTACACTACACACTTAACACAATTTTACTTAGAGTATCTACAAAAAAAACTCTATAACTTCAACTGCACCGGCTCTAGAAGTGTCGAAGTTGCTTTGGCACAGGGCCCCACTTTTTTCATGTAAATTTTCTTTATAATTAGGATCTTGCAAATTCTATTTATACAAGAAAAGGGCTATTTTTTATTTTTTAAACACACAAAAAGGCCCCATATGTTTGATTTTCAGAAAAGGGCCCTAAATTTTTGATTGTGTGCAGGGCTTGAAAATAGATTGGGTCATGCCTGAACTTCAGATATAGAGTTTTTTGCTCTCCAAAAAGAAATTTCAAAAACTTCAAAATTGAAGTTTTGAAGAGTGAAACTCTATATTTGAAGTTTTAATATTCAAAACTCTAAATTTGAAGTTTCGTCATTTTAATTGTATTTTGGTCCTTACAGTTACAAATAAAATTTATAGTTCATAAATATTTTCTTGTTATGTTATAGACATAAACTAAATAAAAATTTATGATAAAATTTAAAATATTTGCTTGTAGATTAGTATTTTAAAAACAAAAATTAGACAACAAAAATGTGGTATTCTGATTATAGTTAATATAATTTAATCATGTCTTTGTATTTATAGTTTTATATTTTAGTGTATGATTTTATTAATTAATATTATTGTATAATTTATATATATGTGTTTGTTAT